AAAAAAAAAAAAAATCCGTAGTCCCCAGTTATCGTGATTTACTGCATCATTATATCGTGGCGTGAAATACGTCGAAACAGTGCTAGGTTTGCATTGAAATAATTGTTATTTATTATCCCGATCAATTGCGACAGTTTATATTTCTATTTCAGTTTCATTTAATAATCTTCATCAAAGTCTCGGCAGTTTATTCGTTTGTTTATTAAAACAGGAGGGCAGAGTTCAGAACTCATTTCACACTCGCTGGTAGATTTAATCGTAGCATACGTAGCATACGTGTGCAAGAGGGTGAATAATAATTCTTGGAACAGCTAGATCGATTCGTGTCGATCAGGATTAATGGTAGAGAGACGCGAGAAAGAAGATAGTCGGAAGAAGCCAATAGAAGGTGACTTCAATAAACCTATCAAAATCAATACTTCTTATCAGGCATGGTTTCACGGCTGCCGATTAGATACGTACTCTGCTCCCTGGCGCCGTGGAAAAAATCACTGCTATCTCCGTTTCCTCGTAGAAACCTTGCATTGACCATTCGCCCGTGTACACTTTTTCTTTACGCAATAGGGTGAGAAAGAAATTGTTTGAAAAAGGCTGCCAATTTTTCACCCGTGATATATCCATAATCACTGACAAATGGAAGGTCGCCGAGACGAGACAATCGGAATAACCGTGACGAATACGGGCGCAAGGTTGATTTCTTTTATTACTTTGACTCACGTTTGAACGTCAATTCCCGAGAGTAGCGGGCCAGACTTCGTTTTCGAGAAAATGAAAATTTTGTTTACTCGATTAGTTTTGCAACGTCTTTCTCAGAAGAAATTGGAACCATTCATTTACCGATTTCTACACTGCGGATATTTACGTAAATTCGTAATTTTTGCAACGGCGATTAAAGAGATAGAAGTCGAAATTTAAAATCTATTAATACTCTTTTTGATTTACTAAGTTTTAAGATTTCTTTTTTAAATTTACTCTTGCACTTTTTCAATTTCGTACAAATGCATAAAAATTCACAGGACGATGAAACTTTTGAAAATTCGCTCGTAAAAAGAGTCCGCGAACTTCATCTGGTTTTTGGCTCTAGATTAAATCTATCTTTATAACAGCTCTTAGTGTCTTACAATCTTTTCTACACTTTCAACGAAGCATTGTCGTGAAAAAAACATACTACTTTTGTAGAAATGCGACGTAAAGTAAGAAAAACCGAAATATTCAAATGTGCAAAAAAAAAAAAGCGTTAACACTAAAACTACCAAACTGGTCAAAGCGAACTGGTTTATCATTTTTGTCAGAAATATTTTTACATGTAAAAACGTCGATCTAAATGACTTTTCGCAAAGTGCATTGAATAAAAGTTTGCATACTCTGTTTATATAGTATAAAGCTTTTTTATTCCTTTCTTTCCACTTGAATGTCTCCGATGAATTCCGTGCGGTAGTTTCGTGTGTCAAAGTATGTCAAAAATCGCAGAGCTACTAAAGCTACTTTGGATCAAATAGATTAACCCTTGCCGCTGTGCCGAAAGTGTGCACTTGTGGAAGATCTGCAATATCGCCCGTAGAAAAGGTGAACAAATTATCACGTAATACAATTAGAAAATATAATTTAATCATGTAATTTCGTATGGAAAGTTTGAACGAGCATCAATCGTTGGGTGACCATAGTCACCGATCGTAGCGAAAGGATTAACTTCCCAAGTAGAATAGGGGCAGTACTAAACATTAATGTTGAAGCGAATATTATTTTAGTAGTATTAAGTTCTTTACTGTGGAAAATTTGGAGGTTTAACAATTTCGATAAATGTTCGAACTATTGTAATACAAATGTGAGTATCACAATTGTTATTCTTAATTCAAATTATCGTAACGTAACATCTAGGTAAAAATAACTTTATGCTTTCTTTTCCCTTTAACCCTTTCGCTACGGGCCGATAGTGTGCACACTGCAATATCGACCGTAGAAAGTAAAAGGTGAACAAATTGTCACGTAATACAATTAGAAAATATAATTTAATCATGTAATTTCGTATGGAAA